TTTTTTTATTTGTTACAAGCTATCTATCATTTGTTGCAACTTCATACCTTAAATCTATTTATTAGCCTCTATGAAAAAAAGAGGTAGAAACTGAAAAGTGTTTTATTCATCTCTCATGTTTCCACATGCTGAAATGGATAAAAAATTAACCTCTTTTTTTTTAGAAAAATATGCATCTTGATTTTACAATTTAAAGTTGCCATCTTATATAATTTTGCTTTTTTCTTTTTCATGTTAAAACTGAACTCAAAAGGTTGCTGAGTAAATGAGGTTTGGCCATTTCAAAATCGATTTGGCCATTTGACAATCATATTTTTTTTAAATATGCGATTTGGCCATTTGAAGCAGCACTTAACACATTGACCCACACCTTTCATTTGATAACCAAGTTACCGAGTACATGATGTGCTCTATCTTACTACCTTGACTCATACCCCTTCGAAAAATTGGGAACATCATGCAACAAAAAAATACGCTCTCAAATCCAATTCTAAACCGTATTAAAGGGTTTTTCAATATTAAAACCACTTTTTTCAACATCAACATTAAAATAATATAGAAGCATATATTGTCGCATCATCCATTATTAGTTGGACTTTGTAACTTCATCAATTGAATTTATGTGAAATTATAAATTGTCTTACATATCTCCATAATATTCAAATATCAAATGTTTTTTATAAGATAACTGCATGTAATATGATAGTGTATACTTATTTTATGTTTTTTTTTATTTTTTTTAAATTTTTTTTTGGGGGGTTTTGACCCTTTCTTTTTATAAAAAAAATCTACTTGACCGGTTAGTACGGTTAACCGCTCCGGTTAGTCCGATTCCTGTTTGAACCGCTCTCAGCCTCACAACCGGTTAACCATTTCGGTTCAATTTTGCGAACACTGGTATCAGCAAATAACATTTGCCTAGTATGATCTATAAAAGGACCACACTCCCATTGAGTTTATATTCCACTATATAAAATGCTCATACAAGCTCTCATAAGGCCACATAAATCCAACACACCTCACGTAATGGTTTTTTGATTTTTGGAAAAATCTTTTATAATCTGTTTCCATTTCCTTATTATTAAAGTGTATTCCAACAATGGAAATGTCATATTTCTTTATAGTATATTGTCATATAATAGATTTCCATGTACCTAAACGGCCCCTTAGAGTACATATTATGTGTTTAGTCCCTACATGAAATACTCATAAAAAAATTATCAATTGAAGTAAAAAAAAAATACATTTTGCAACTGGACCGTCCATTTTCAAGATTTTCATATGTTTGCAAATTTAATTGATTTGAATTATTTTTTTACTATAATATTTTATAATTAGAGATGTAATGGATTCTCATGCCATCCTAATATTTTGACACCAACATTACATCTTATGGTAAAATTTGGTGGTGCACCTCATTTTGATTATTTTAGGTTGCAACCTTTTTCAAACTAGTGTTTGCAAAATTGAATCGGAATGTTTACCTGGGCATGGGCCGGCAAGCGGTTTAACCGACCTAACCAGTAAACCGGCCGATTCAACCACTCTAACCAGGCAAGTCCCAAGCGGTCAAAAAAGTGTTGAAAAAAATAAAAAAAATACAAAAAAAAGCTATACTACAATACAAAAAGTATATAAATAATGATTAAAACAAAACACATTCAAATGAAGTTGAAAATTAATGAAAAAAAGGATTTTAATGAATTGATTTGTACCTAGGGGTATTTTTAAAATTTTCTAAAAAAGATGGGGAAATATAAAAGTGAGTATTAATGAACAAAATAATTTTTAATCTTTTAGCATAATGTAAAGAATATTAAAAAATGCATTACAAATCAAATTCCTTATTTTTGGAAATTTATATACATTTTTTGTTTTTTTTTTAAATACTGGTTGATCACCAAAACAACCCAAAACTGGAACTGGGCAGTTCCGATCTAACCGGGAGGTTAGCAGTTAGATTGCCTGGTTTTTCAAACCGTGATTCGAACCACGCCCATTTATTAGGGGTGGCAATGGACCCAGGATCCGTCGTCGATAAGATCTGGATATGGGTCTAAGAATTGGAGCTAGCGGGCTACGTCTGGGTCCAATCATTGGACCCAAACACTATTCAGGTCTGGGTCCATGTGGACCCGACCTGGACCCAACCCACCCCTAATAGTGTTATTAATATAAGGGAGAATATAGAATGAGACCATGTACATTTGGTACAAGGTGAGACATTAATCTTGACCATTAGATGTGAAATTGGGTGGCTACAATTATTTCATGGAAAAAGTTTATATAAAGATGCTATCTTATAATGTAGAACTACGGATGCCCCTCAAAACTCCATTGAAAAAGGTCGTTTTAATATTGAAAAACCCTTTGATTGATCATCTCGACATTGAGATGTATGACTATAAAAAATAAAAAGATTTTAAGTCTCAGAAATAGTGAAAAACCCTTTGATTGATCATCTTGACATTGAGATGTATGACTATGAAAAATAAAAAGATTTTAAATCTGAGAAATAGTGCATTTTACAACATATTATCTACACCGCCTATTTTCAAGATTTTCATATGTTTATAGATCTACTTGATTTTAACCATTTTTTAATTTAAAATTTTATAATTAGATATAAAAATAGATTTTGAGATAATCCTAAGAATATTTTACATAAAAATTATATACCATGATAAAATTTGAAGGTGCACCATACCTCTACACCTATGGATACATCCATATGCAAACTGCACCCTTATTTCGTTATCAAGTTCAAACTTCAAAATATATTTTCTCAAACTTTGTGACACATCCACTCTTATTTCGTTACCAAGTTCAAACTTCAAAATGTATTTTCTCAAACTTTGTGACACATCTTGGTGATTAAACTTCACGACGGTGGTAAGCAATCGTAAATGATATACAATCTCTTAATATAAACGGATAGATTTGCGGAGTGGCTCTCATCAAGATTGGACGGCTAGATTGTAGTATGGTGGTAAGCAATCGTAAATGATATACAATCTCTTAATATAAACGGATAGATTTGCGGAGTGGTTCTCATCGTAAATGATATACAAACTCTTAATATAAACGGATAGATTTGCGGAGTGGCTATTGGACGGCTAGATTGTAGGATAGTGGTAAGCAATCCTAAATGATATACAATCTCTTAATATAAACGGATAGATTTGCGGAGTGGCTCTCATTAAGATTCGACGGTTAGATTGTAGGTAGGGGAAGTATAGAAACCTTCAAATCAACGGAATCTTTCTGTATGTTTTTGGCCATCTAATTTCTAGCCAGATTCGCAATGCAAATAAAAGAGGCGCCTTTAAACTTCAAATCCGTATCTCGCTTAGGAAACTCTCCTCTTCTGCAACTCTCTGTGTTATTACCCAACAATGCGGTGGGTTAGCTTTGATCCACCATTCCCATCAGAAGTAGAAGAGGAAAAAGTTGATGAAAGAACTGATAACGTTTGGGGCATGTCTCTTCTTGAGGAAAAAGCCATTTCGGAAGCCATGGAAGGAGTTCGAAAGGACTTTGCGGAGCTCGGAGAAAACCTCAAGAGCAGTTTCTCTCTTTTTTCTGTTAAGAATCTTTCGAAGCTGACTTCTAGTTTTCTGCAACTTGGAGCTGATGAGCCTTCTGAGCAGAGGTGTGATGATATGGGAGTTACAAAAGATGTTTTGGAGTTTGCTCGCAGGGCTTCTCAGCGACCCGAAACATGGCTGGAGTTTCTCTCTATGGACAAGCCATGTTCTTTTGACAGTGAGAATATCCTTCTTTTTCTCTCTTGTTTGCTTCTTTTTGTGTAGATGAATAAGATTGCCACGGTAATTTTCTCCGATGGTGGTTAATGGTGTCTCTTCATTCTCATCAACAGTGTTCTTGTTTTCATTAATACTCTTTTTCTCTTAACTTCATAGTTATCAGAATCATCAAATTAGCCATAAAGAAAACAAAGTACTATTTTGCAATCAAGTTGTCTTATGTGTTGTTTGAAGTAGATAAAGAATGATTAGGGATTGTCTATTAGTACATGCAAATCATAATATTCATTATAAGGAGACTTTTATATGGAGAATCCTGAACTTATTTGTTACTTGAGGAACGCTCTAAACAAGCACAACAAGTTTGGTTTGATAAATTTCACCCCATAACTCATTTTAGTTGTAATTGATTTTGACCCACAATATTGGGGTGCTCATGCTATCGTTTTCCTGAAGTTGGAACAATGATTTTAAAAAGAAACTTGCGCTGGTGAATAATGGATTATTGTGGGATGATTATTTAAGAGGATGAATCCTATGGACAAAGCCACTCCACAGCTTTCTTCTAGCGGGGCCATATGAAGTTTGCAATTTTTCTATGGGGTTATGGCTGTTAATACATATATCAATGTTCTGGAACTCGGCTCAAGCCTCGGACTCAGCCCTGGCCGGAGCTGAGTTTCTGGTGGTCTTGCCCTGAGTAGTGTACATGGCCAAGAAAAGCTATAAAAAATAAAAAAATTCAAAAACTTGTTAAAAATGCAAAATAGTAAAAAACTAAACTAAACAAAAAACAACATAAATAGTCCAAATACTTTGAAAACAAGTATAAAACATGAATTTAGAAAAATTGATTTACAGTTGTAGACATTTCAGAAAAATCCATGCAAGAGAGGAAAATATAAAAATGCAGCATGACAAGAAAACCTCACAAATCACTGTAAAAAATTCCAAGTCACATATAAAATATTTATACGTTGCTTCTGCAATTTTATTTTATTTGATATATTTTTAAATTAACCTGAGTTTTACCTGAATACGCAACTCGGCAAGGCCAGGTCCGAGTAATGCAGCTGAGTCCGAGGGACTCATCTGAGTTTTTAAACATTGATGTGTATTAACCTTGTAGTTTTAGTTTATGTGATCTGCCCATTAGTTCGGGTCTTTAGGAGTAGTTTTATGTTGTTTGTTCATGTTATTGATGTATTTTGTATGCCTACTCAGTTGTATGTATAAATGAAATTTATTCCTTATCTTCAATAAGAACTACTCAAAACTTTTCTGATTCTAGATAGTATCTGGATATCATTTATTTGTCAAAACCCTAATTCATGAGAGTGGCACTTTCAGCTGTCCAATTTTAAAAAAATAATATAAATGTTGATTAATGTTTCAAGAGGAGATCTGCATCATCAGTCTAGGCTCTTGTCGTTGCAGGTGCAATAACATGACCATCTATACATCTTGATAATGCTAACATTGTTGCATGGATTGCTAGCTCAATATGACTAAAGACTGCTGTAGGGTTGGCACCCATAAGAACTGCAAGAGATATATGGCTGCACGTTGAAAAGGAGTATCAAGAGATAAAACATGCTCAATTCCATGAGTTGGAAGAAGATCTAAATGGCATGCCTTAAGGGAATAAAAGATCCAAGGACCACACCTCAAGGGGATAAATCTATTGACGACTATTAGTTTGTAGTGCTGCATATTTTAGATGCTCCTATGCATCCTCAAGTCACATATCCTATCAGTCAAGTGACTTTTATATGAGGGACCTGCGAATTATCTGATTGAGATTTTCCACAAAAATGCATCCTCAAGTCACAACCCTATCCGTCTTGATAGCCTTCCACATGTGTGGGGTTGCAGACATTTCCACTTCAAACTCTCTTGGTTCAATGAACCTGACTATGAAACATTGTTCTGACAATGGTGTTCATACTACAGTCTACAGCGGGGCGAGCAACATGCTGCAAAAAACAAGCTCCAAATGTCAAAATCCTCCCTTGAACACTGGAGTTTTAACCTGCCTACTGCCTAGAAATTTTAGTTCCATCAAGGTGTTCCTTCTAAACGAAATCATTGACCTTGAACTGGTGGAGGAATCATGGGAACTGTCCTTGGTACAAAATCATCAGAGACATGAAGCTAAAGCAAACATCTGTAACCACCCTCAAGCAGGAGGAGACCTACAAGTACCAGCGTGTGAGAATCAGATGGCTCAAAGCAGGCTACAACAACGTTGTTTTCTTTGTTAAAATACTAACTGGCAGCGTAGAACTGATTCTTTACCCCTATAAAAGTGGTCAGCGCACGTTTCTTGGACCTCTGGAAGTCTCCTTGGCCATAGTCTCTTTCTTTCAGAGCCCTTGCCGTCGGATAAGTCCACTTCTTCCCTTGCCCTTGGATGGCTGACCTTTCTTTCCTATCCATCCTGCCTGAGAAGGCCTCCTTGTTGGAATGCCCTTTTTCTGAAGAATAAATTCTAAGTGCCACCTCAAACCTTGGTAAGGACAGAGCCCCTGACCTAGACAGCTTCCCAGTTGCCAATTTTTTTTCCAAGTTTTGGGACATTGCCTGATATATTAGCCTTCTAAAATGAATTTTTTCGTAGAGGTTTTGTCAACAAGGGAATGAGTGCTGCCTTCATTGCTCTCATCCTGAAATTGGAAGGCACTCGACATTTAAAATTCATGCCTATTGGCTTCCTGAACTTATCCTACAAGATCTTGGCAAAGGTCTTGGTCCCCTGCCTAATTGTGGTCCTAGACTTCGTCATTCTTGTAACCAGTGTGGCTTTTTTGATAATAGGCAGATGATTGACAGTGCAATTGTTGCCCCCATTCACTACAAACACCAAAAAAATGCAAGACTCATTCTACAGCTAGATTGGGGAGTAGGCCTATGGCCATGTTGATTGGCCTATTCTTGACAAATTTCTCAGGAAATGGGTTTTGAAAACACTTGGAGAAAGTGGATTTCTCGGGCTGTATCTCTTCTTCTGCAATCTTTATCCTCATGAATGGCTTCCCAAAGGGCCTCTTCTGCCCATCAAGAGTTCTCCATCAAGATGATTGCCTGTTGCCTTTTCTCTTCCCCATAGTCACGGAAGTATTTGGCAAATCTATCTCCAGACAATTCCAATGACACCTCTTCTCATGCTTCAAGCCATCGAGGACCAGACCTGAGATTTTCCAGCTTCAGTATGCAAACAACACTCAAGTCTTTTGCAGGTTGATTGCCTTTGCATTTTCCTCTAATGTTTCAAGCTAGCCACTAGCATGAAAATTAATATGATCAAATCTATTGATGGGCATCATAGTTGATCTGCAAGTCTTCCAAGACCTTTCAAGGAAACTTGGCTGTAGCACTAAAATTTACCGTTAAAGTATGGGATTTCCCCTTTGCATTGGTGAACCATGTAGATTGCTCTGGGATCCTTTGATGGAAGGATTTCAAGGATGTCTTGTCACCTTGCAGGGTAGATCCCTCTTACTGAATGGGGGCATGACCCTCAACACGGCAACACTCTCAACCCTTCCCATCTATTATGTGTCCCTTTTCCAGTTGCCTAGTGGGGTTATTACCAAGCTGGAGTGACTTATGAAAGACTTATGTTCAAAGAACAAAGCCAATAGAAAGATTCACCTAATAGGACGGGGAAGTGGTGGAAGCAGTTTGCACCTCCAGAAAACTCAGTATGACAAGATATCCTTCATTGTGAAAATGGCATGGTAAGGTTGGTTGCCTAAAGGACTTCCTTGAAGTGTGCTTCATTGGCTCCCCACATTGTTTATGTTAACTAACGGCTGTCCCCAAGGATTCTTCCCTTCAATGAGAAATCTTCGCCAATATAACCCCTATCACCTTTTTTGTTTGCAATACTAGGAGATATTTTAGGAAGTCTATTTCTAACCTCCTTCAAAATCTTCTTGAAGGTTTCTCCTCCTTAGGAGGGACCGCTAATATCCTACTTCTAATATGCTGATGATACCCTCAGCAAGTGGACAATCTTTGGTTGTTTTCACACTATCTATGGAGCTCAGATAAATCTTCTATGGAGCTTAGATAAATCTTGATGAGACAAAATTGATGGAGGTGTGGGTTAGCCACAATCTCGAATAAATGCTGGCCAGGAGGCTGGTGCGGGATTGAGTCCTTACCCAACAAGTACCTTAGCCTGCCATTAGGTCTTGGCAAACCGAGAAAGCTGCAATGATATGGGGTGGTTGAAAAGTTTGAGAGGATGTTGGTCGCAGGAAAAGCAAAACTCTTGTAGAAAGCAATGTTCAAACGCCTAGGCGGTTTGGGCTCTAGGCCACTAGGTGCTAAGGCTGGGCCGCCCAAACCCAAAGGCGGCCTATGTTGTCTCTTTTTTGAAAGTTGGATCCCCTTCACCTCCCCCAAGTTATTGTATATACTATATAATAATAATTATGAATTAATATTATTTTTTGGTTTACCAATAAATTAATTACTGTTACATGCAAAAAGCATTTTCCATAAATTAATAATAACAAATTCATAGTATTTTTTGGTTTATCAATAAATTAATAATTACTGTCACATGCAAAGAGCATTTTTGATAAATTAATAATTATGAATTGATACTATTCATTTTTTTGTTTACCAAGAAATTAATTACTATCACATGCAAAAAGAATTTTCGATAAATTAATAATTACGAATTAATACTATTTTTTGGTTTACTAATAAATTAATAATTATTGTCACATGCAAAGAGCATTTTTGATAAATTAAAAATTATGAATTAATACTATCTTTTGGTTTATCAATAAATTAATAATTACGGTCCATGCAAAAAGCATTTTCAATAAACTAATAATTATGAATTAATACTATCTTTTGGTTTTTAAATATATTAATAATTACTGTTACATGCAAAAAGCATTTTCGATAAATTAATAATTACAAATTAATACTATGTTTTGGTTTATCAATAAATTAATAATTACCATTATATGCAAAAAG